GGAGTTACTAATGAATTCTCTTTTCTTATTTTTTATCTCCGTCTTTCTGAGCCGAGGGTCTATCGGAAACAGCCTCTCTGCCCTGTCGGGGCAGGGGTAAGGTCTGCGTACACATTACCCTCCCCAGACCCCACTATGTGGGATTTTACTGGGTAGTTGTTGTGGTTGTTGTTGTATGTAAGGCTCTATCACTAGCGCAAAATTAGGGCACACTGAGATAAGCAACAGTCTAACGTCTCTAAAATTTTCCAGCAAAAAAGGGATTCCTATGTTACTCTCGCAATGGTATTCTCTTTATCTCTTTCTTTGATATTTCCCGTTATGGTCAGGGAACTTGTTTACCCTAAAAATTGGATAACAATTAAACTTATAATGCGGTTTTTAGGACACGTGATTTCACCTAATACCAATTGATAAATATAAAGATTAACAGTATAGATTAACAATGAGATAAAGCAAACCACTCTTGAAACGTGATTCAGCCCTTGAGCTTAAGTGCCCTCGAACTGATCGGTGCCCAAAATAGTTAAGAAACACACTAACTGATGAACACGAATATAAGCTAGAAAGTATTGTATTGCTTTGATATGCGTGAATATATGATGGTTACAAAATGATTAAGACCCTCTTTATATAGTAGAGGAATCCTATTTGTGGTAAAATTCTAATTACGGAAATAAATCCCATGATTAACTAAACAACCGCCCTTGATTTGATCTGTTCCGAGATTTACGCCATGATCTTCGGCCAGCCACGGATATCTCGCCTTTCTGTTCTTGTGCTTTGCTCGATGTCTGTCTCATTTGGTCTCGATCGCTACTGGCCTCGATATTCGATAGGTTACCTTGGTCCTAGAACTCGGTGCCTTATCCTCGTACCTCGGTCTGATCCGTTGCGAGGACGACCTTTGATGCAATTCCCTAGACTTGATCAAATACTAAAATCGGGCAGGCCCGATTTTAACCGTATACAGATAGTCCCCTCGTTTCTTGGAGTGTAATGAGAAGAAAAGAATTGAGCCTTCAATTTTGTACCTCGACCTGTCATGACGTCATCTTCATGGCGTAAGCGACGAAAGTGCTGAAACGTCCCGTCAGTTCGCATATCGAGGCATCAAATGCCTGTCAGTTGCTGTCCGCCATTATTGATTTTGAACCGTCACCTTCTTCCTATAAATGTGATTTCCTTCTCTTTTGCCCAAACTTTATTCTTAATCTCCGCCCTAATCTTCAAAGCTTTTCACTTCTTTCAAGCTTTTTCGTGCTACATAATCTCTAAGTTTCGTTATCAACCTTCTCTCAAAACACCAAACCTCATTCTCTTCTTCCTTCTTTCAACTAGCAGAGATGGCAAAAATGTCTAAAACTGTTCCACAAAAGGAGGGCACCTATTCATCACGGCCGGCCGGTGATAAAACGCCGATGGAGCCGCGTCCTGAGGAGTGCGTTCCCGAGTGTGTGTGTGTGTGTGTGTGTGTGTGTGTGTGTGATCTTGCTTCCGACTTCAAAGTTGAGAAAACTTCATCTATCCCTGGCCGGTGTGAGCCAATGTCGAGATACATGTGCTCGATAACTGAGAGTGACCTTGAGCAGGTCAATAAGACTGCCATTGGGAGAAGAAAGAGGTGGTGATTCCGACTCCCGAGGAAGATATCACTACCCATGTGGAAGGGTTTCTAAGTGTTTACACTTACCCTTTCACGCTGGGCCCTATCGATCCCCTCATCATTGACTTTTGCCGCCAATATCAAATAACCCTAGGTTAGATCCATCCTTCTTTTTGGCGGATTGTCATTCTGTTCCGATTTTTTGCGAGCAAAGTCGAAGGGACGCATTTCACACTCGACCACCTCATCAGGCTATATAGGCCTCGTCTTTTTCGAGGTGGGTTAATAAATCTACAACGTCGGGCCACCAAGGTGCTGTTGTCGAGCATAGACGAGGACAAGGATCGAGGGTGGATGGGTCGGTTCGTTCAATTGAAGACTTCCGGCCTAATTCCGGCCGAGAAGATGCCATTTCCCAAGAAGTGGAATATGGAGCGTAAGTTCAATCCTTCCTTTAGCTTCTATTACTGTTTTGTTTCTTTTACTTCTCCTCATCGACATCCTTTTCTATGATGTAGCGGTCGCTTGGATGCCTGGTGCTATTCCGAACCTCGAGAGCTGGGTTCGGACCCTAGCTTCGACCTCCTCGTACGCTGAGCGCTCATGGCGCGATTTAGCAAGGGGCCGATGGGAGGCCAAAAATCACGGTAAGCCTTTTCTTCACATATCCGATGACTTTTGTTAAAATTTTTCCCTCTTATACTCACTTGACTTCCTTTCATATAGGCCTCGGAAAAGATGCCGTCATGAGGCCCCCGTCCGGGGAGGAGGAGGTTTCGCCCACTCCTATCGTCGACAACCGTGCACCCATCCTCCTGAAATCCTAAATCCGCCTCTGGACTCACCAGCTAAGTGAGTTGTTTTTGTTGTGTTTATAGATTTACTTTTAAATTATTTGATTTCTTTATACTTATTAACTTTTAAAATATTTTTTCTATAGTTGAATGATGGTTGCAATTTGGCCATCAAACTCCAAACTCGCAAAAATTTACCGTTAAAGTACTAATTTTAACTTCTAGCTCATTAGGATGTGAGAAAAATTTGAGCGTATTTAAACATGTAAGAAGAATATATATTATATTATTATTAGTATATCTTAATTACTCTTTACAACTTATGCATAAATTCATCCAAAGAAGAGGGATAGACTTGAGCTATCACATTTTAAAGATCTAGTGACATTAAGTACAATAGAACACTAAAGTGTCGGTATGAAGCTCGTGATACTATTGATCTATGTTTATTGGATAATATTAACGAGGCAAATTGGTTAGCTGGAGCTCCCTAAAATCATGAAGAAGAAGAAGTATATGAAGAAGATGATCTCAATTGGGGTAGTGTTGCTACGACGAGTGGGGTTGAGGAGAATATCTACGGTCTTAGGGACAACGCTTCTTCTTCAAGGTCTCATAACAAGGAAAAAAAAGTAGTTACAAGTTCAAGTCAGTCCCTAATTGATGAAGACTCTGTGGAGGAAGAAGATGAGGACCAATACAATTATAACAATCTTGAGTTCAAGAATTTGAAAATCTTGAAGAAGAATAGATGTTGCTTTGTTTATAATTAGGTTTTGAATTTGCTTGTCTTATAAATTGTTGATTATCTAGTTCTAGACTTGAATTATTGACTATCTAGTTCTTTTATCATCTACTATCTGTTCTTAGTTTTTAATTGAAATATTTGCTAATAAATTATTGCTATTGAATTTTTGGTTATTTATATATGCAAATTTAATAATTTAATATTTTGTATTAATTGGCACTTCACTTCTGTATGGGTCAAAATCCAACTAAAGGAAATTCGGCATGAAGAGGTGACCAAGTGTGAGAACTGTGGCTCATCATGGGCGACTAGGTCGAGGTCAACCAGGGGTTGACAATACTGAGCCTCCGAGTGAGCCATTAGGGCCGAGGCCGAGCAGTAGGAAAAGAAGTAACGGCTAGTATAGCTTTGGAACTTTCAATGGGAATATTCTATTGAATATTCCTTCTGTTGTACCTTTTTAGGGTTTTTGGGAATATCCCACATAAATAGTAGAAGAAAGAAGGCAAAATGGAGGGAAGGTGGATTATGATAAGAACTCTTATGGGAAGTAGACTCAAGGAAAACAATACAAAATAGTATTACCTTTCCACAAGGATTCGATTTGCTGTTTATTCAACCTTTTTCTCGCATCAGATCCGAGAAAACCTCATATATTCCAATATCCATGTCTTACATCAATGTCAGAGAGAAGAATCATCCACCTCATTCAACATTTGGGTGAATCATTCCCTCTATTTACACTTATTGCCATTTAATATAGTTATTGCTCATCATTGTTCCTTAACTCATTCTTGACAACATCATTTAATACCATATGTATTAAATTGGCTCAAACGTTATTCAGCACTATTTATACAAGCACGTGTTAGATATAGAACTTATTATATTTAACTAAGATTTACCCATCACCTTTGTATTTAATTAGTTTAACAAAAGGTTTCATACTTTCTGATCGAACAATTTGGTGCCGTATGTGGGGAACTTTCAAGTCAAAGTCATAGTTTTTCTAGATCTAAAAAAAAAAAGCAAAACACAAAAATTTATTTTTCCCTACTTGCACAGTCTAACATGGCTGGTAATGGAGAGCAAAGATTGAAGGCAGTGGCAGGCCTTACTACTAACCTCCTAAACACCATCAATGAGGTTAATGGAACAGACGAGGAGAACATGACACCAAACGCTTCCCCTAGACGAAGTGGTTCATCCCTTCCTCATGGCAGCGTTACCACCTCCCACGGAAAAGAGCCTCTACATCCACAGCGGAAGAAGCACTACCAGCAGTGAAAAAGCTACTAGAGGCATGGTTGACGAGTACGCTGACCAGCATACTCGACAAACCTGTCCTAAGGGCGAGCAATGAGGATGCCCGAGTCAATATCACAACAACCAATGAGCAGCACGTCCCTCCTCCTTTAACAGGTATCACTCACACCGTTAATGATGCATGTAACGACAACCTTACAACTATTCTAAGAAAAATAGAGGAGATGGAGAATGAGAACAAAGCGCTCCGCGAGCAAATGAAGGAGCACCAAGAAAGGGTAGACAAGATACCAGGCGCCCCAAAGCTTTTACCGAAAGGGGACGCCGACTGGTTCGTGGAACAACCATACAGCGATGAGGCCGCGCCACATGATATACCTAAAACATTCAAGATGCCGTCGTACTTGAAAATATATGATGGCACAACGGACCTTGAGCACCCACTATGTCACTGCAGTAAAAGGCAACGACCTCGTCAAAGAGCAAGTATCATCCATATTGCTGAAAAAATTTGATGAAACCCTGACCGGGGGAGCACTGACGTGGTACTCAAAACTGCCCGCGCGAGCCATAAACATTTGAGGAAATGGCTGATAAGTTCGTCACCGCACATGCCGGAGCCAGGAAAGCAGAAGCGAGAGTAAATGATATATTCGCCATTAAACAAGTCCCTGGCGAAGGACTCGGGGACTTCCTTGCCCGGTTTAACCGTGTTAGAATGACTCTCCCAAATGTATCGGAAGGAATGGCGGTAGCAGCATTCCAAAATGGGCCGAACAGGAGCGGTTCGAGGGCGACCAAAAAATTATTGAGCCGGCTCATGAAATACCCTCCTACCACTTGGGACGAAATATATAATGCCTATTGTACCGAGGTGAGAGCAGATGAGGACGACCTCAACGGACCAACCCAACGATTGACATCGGTCCAAATGGAGTCGATAAAGGATCGGAGATATGATAATAAGAGAGATCTAGCAGGACCCCGTCCTAACCAGGAAAGACATCAGCCTTACAGCCGAGGTACCCTCATGTCGCCTCCCCGACATGACGAAGGCCCTTCTAGGCCAAAAACAGGAACTCATCGGAATGAGAGAGATATGCCCCCCTTATTATCTGCTCATAATTTCTGTGTTTCCCCCTCAGAAATAGTTTACGCACTGGAGAAGCTCGACCCAAAATTAAAGTGGACGCAAAAGATGAGGTCCGACCCGAGCACTAGAAAGTCAAATGCCCTCTGCGAGTTCCACCAGGAGCGATGCCACAAAACCGAGGAGTATATCGCCTTAAGACAAGAGGTCGTGAACATGCTACACCAAGGGCACTTGAAAGAACTGATGAGCGACTGAGGGAGGGCCAACTTCGCCCGTGGACGTGAACAGCACTAGGGACTGCCCAAACCACCTTCCCCGGTTTGAACCATTCAAATGATCATCGGAGAGGGAGACGATGCATCAATCAACATCGTGAAGTTCACCACCACCCACAAACTCAAACGGTCAATCACCCATGAACGGTACGACGAACTCGAAGAAAGTATCATCTTCGATAAGTCGGATACCCACGATTTAGTTTTTCCTCACTATGACGCTCTTGTAATTTCTTTACGCATTTTTGATACCGATGTAAAACGTATTATGGTCGATGACAGGAGCGGCGCGTGCATCATCCACCCTCGAGTTCTCGCTCAAATGAAGCTCGAGGATAGGATAGTGCCACGCTGCATCACACTGACGGGTTTTAACAATGCAGTCGAGCGAACATCTGGAGAGATCACACTGCTCGTCTTAGCCGGTGGAATCACTTTGGAAACCACGTTCCACCTCATGGACCGGGATACAACACCATCATAGGTCGACCTTGGATCCACACCATGAAAGCTGTCCCCTCCATCTTATATCAAGTCATCAAATTTCCCACCCCTTGGGGAGTATTCAGCATCCGAGGAGAACAACGCACCGTCCGAGAATGCTATCTTATCGCCAAAGACTACACGCACACCCAATAGTTAAAGGGTAAAGCCAAAGAGGCATAGCAATCAACAGGGTCGAGGTCAAGCGAGGACAAGAAGGATGTCATCAAGGACCCCGAAGTAGTGGAGGCTACGGGTTCAACTGTGGAAGACCTCGACCCCGTTTAGCTCGATAATAACGACCACAACAAAAAGGCCTATATCGGCCACAAACTCCACAAACCAAGTAAATTCCATCAATTTTTAGTTAACAATGCAGACTTGTTTGCTTTTTCTCATGCAGATATGTCGGGCATTCCGAAGGAAATAGCAACACATAAATTGATTGTTGACCCATTCCACCCCCAGTACGGCAGGTTAGAAGAAAATTCAATGCTGCGATAAATGATGTTGTCCGCGAGGAGATGGAAAAATTGGTTAAGAATGGCTCCATCAGAGAGTCAAAATATCCTCAATGGGTTGCCAACGTGGTCATGGTAAAAAAGAGAAATGAGAAATGGCGAATGTGCATAGACTTCACAGATCTGAACAAAGCATGCCCAAAAGACTCATTCCCATTGCTCCATATTGACCAACTCATCGACGCAACGGCCGGGCACGAGCTATTAAGTTTCCTAGATGCCTATTCGGGTTACAATAAAATCCGCATGGAGGAAGAAGATCAGGAAAATACCACTTTCATCACCTACCAGGGGACGTACTGCTACAAGGTCATGCCGTTCGGGTTGAAAAATGCAGGGGCGACATATCAGAGGCTGGTGACCAAAATATTCAAAGATCAAAGCGGCAAAACCATGAAAGTGTATATAGACGACATGTTGGTCAAGTCGAAAAGGAAGGAGGATCACATCCACCATTTGAGGGAAACCTTCGACATACTTAGGAAGTACAACATGAAATTAAACCCTAAGAAGTGCGCCTTTGGCGTAACCTCGGAGAAGTTCCTCGGTTTCTTAGTATCGCAGCGAGGCATCGAGGTCAACCCCGACCAAATCAAGGCTATAGAGGGAATACCAGAAAACTTGACCAGCAAGAAACAAGTGCAGAAGATGACCGACCATATAGACGCCCTGTCAAGATTCATCTCACGGTCCTCTGATAGGTGCCATAAATTTTTTGGCGTACTCAAAAAGGACAACGGACTCCAATGGAATTCCGAGTGTGTCGACGCCTTAAAAGAACTGAAGGCATACTTGTCTTTGCCCCCGCTGCTCACTAAAGCGGAACTCGGAGAACGTCTCCTCATCTACCTGCCGTGTCCGATGTCGCAGTAAGTGTAGTCCTCGTACGAGAAAATAAAGGTATGCAGTCTCCCATCTACTACATTAGCAAAACTTTGATCGACACTGAAACGAGGTACCCCCACCTCGAGAAGCTAGCCCTATCTTTGGTCGTAGCTTCGCGAAAGCTTAGACCTTATTTCCAGTGCCACCCCATCTCGGTGGTCACGACCTTTCCCCTAAGGAGTATCCTACACAAACCCGAGCTGTCAGGTAGGTTGGCCAAATGGGCCATTGAATTGAGCGAGCACGATATAACCTATCAACCGCGAACAACGATTAAGTCACAAGTACTTGCCGACTTCGTCGCCGACTTTAGCGCTAAAATAATGCCCGAGGTCGAAAGGGAAGCCGCTAGTATTCCCCCTAGATACACGACCTATGGATACTGAACACCGATGGCGCTTCTAACGCGTCATAATTTGGACTGGGACTCGTGCTCGAGGTCCCAACAGGTGAAATAGTTCACAAGTCCATACGGTGCCCTGATATAACTAACAATGAGGCCGAGTATGAGACGGTGATTGCAGGATTAAAACTGGCACTCAAGTACGGAGCACGACGAGTAATCCTATGATGCGACTCGCAACTCGTCGTCAATCAAGTCATAGGGACTTTCCAAATCAAGGAACAACAACTATAGAAATACCAGGCCAAAATTTGCAGACTGTTATCCGAGTTCGACGAATGCCAGCTCGATCAAATATCTCGAGCATAGAACATCGAAGCGGACGGTCTCGCCAAACTGGCAGCGGCCACCAAAAGAATAATTGGAGAAGGGAACGTGGTCACTCTCCTCCATTCATCGCTCGATCAAATCAAGGTACGGACTATAAACTTGACTTGGGATTGGTGCAATTGTATTGTCTCATATTTGCAGGACGGGGTGCTCCCAAATGATAAAAAAGAAGCCAAGAAACTTTGAATACAAGCGGCCAGGTACAACATCATCAATAACGACTTGTACAAAAGAACGTATGGTGGCCCACTAGCAAAATGCTTGGGCCCAAATCAGACGCGGCGCGTCCTCGAGGAAGTACACGAAGGTCACTGCAGAGCTCAGACCGGAAATTGAGCTCTCGTCAGATGCCTCATACGAGCAGGCTACTACTGGCCCACGATGAAAAAAGAGGCCGCCGACTTCGTAAAAAAATGCGAGCAATGCCAAAAGTATGCACCCATGATCCACTAAGCGGGCGAGCTCCTCCACTCGGTCACCTCGCCCTGGCCCTTCATCAAATGGGGAATGGACATCGTCGGACCCCTCCTAGCGGGACAAGATAATGTACGATTTCTTTTAGTTTTAACTGACTATTTTTCCAAGTGGGTAGAAGCAGGTTCATTTGCCCAAATACGTGAGCAAGAATTTATCACATTCATATGGAGAAACATCATATGCCGCTTCGGCATACCCGAAGAAATCAACTGCGACAACGGGCCCCGATTCACGAGAAAAAAGATCACCGAGTTCTTTGAAAAATGGCACATCCAAAGAATACTCTCCACGCCATATCACCCCGCGGGCAACGGTCAGGCGGAGTTCTCCATCAAGTCAATACTGAACATCATGAAAAAGAAGCTCGAGAACGCCAAGGGACTGTGGCCGGAATTGCTGCCGGAAGTGCTATGGGCATACCGCACAACGCCAAATACAAGTACAGGGGAAACGCCGTACTCACTAGTCTATGAGACTGATGCAATGATACCGGTCGAGGTCGGAGAACCAAGTCTAAGATATTCAAATGATAGCGGTCCAAACAACAATGAAAATAGGAAGCAAGACCTCGACGGGGCCGAAGAACGAAGAGACATGGCTTACGTAAGAATGGTAGACCAAAAACAACAGGCGGAGCGGTACTATAACAAAAGAACCAAGGTCAGACCGCTTAAAGTCGGGGACTATGTACTCAAGTCCAAAACACAAGCAAGCAAGGATCCACGGGAAGGCAAACTGGGAACCAATTGGGACGGCCCACAATATCACGGCGGCAGTAAGCAAAGGATCTTTCCAACTAGAAACAATGGAGGGAAAATTACTACCAAACAATTGGAACGTCGCCCATCTCAAATACTTCAACTTCTAAGGACAGACGTCCTCCGAGTTGTACTCTTTCTCCCTCACCTGAGTTTTGTCCCAATTGGGTTTTCTCGGGGAGGTTTTTAACGAGGCTACGGAGGGGGAATCTCGAAGTTAAGTATAAGCTCATCGCTAAACCTCTCAACTACTTCTTTAGGTTGACCAATGAAGGGACTAAATAGGCCGGGACTTCTCCAATGTATGTATAAGCAGAGCAAAAACATGTAAACTTCTCCAGTGTACGTACAAACAAAGCAAAGTATGCAAACACACGATGTTCACATGTCTCCACCAAGTTTAAACATTACGCCAATCTAGGAAGTAACATTCGACGTCGTTCGAATTAATTAAAAGTCACCATTCGACCTCGCTCGAATCGACTTACCTTCGACCTCGCTCGAATCGACTTACATTCGACCTCGTTCGAATTAATTAAAAGTCATTATTCAACCTCGCTCGAATCGACTTACATTCGACCTCGTTCGAATTATTTAAAAGTCATCATCCGACCTCGCTCGAATCGACCTACATTCAACCTCGTTCGAATGAATTAAAAGTCATCATTCGACCTCGCTCGAATCGACTTACATTCGACCTCGTTCGAATGAATTAAAAGTAATCATTCGACCTCGCTCGAATCGACTCACATTCGACCCCGCTCGAATCGACCTTGATCGAATCGACTTACATTCGACCTCGTTCGAATGAATTACAAGTAATCATTCAACCTCACTCGAATCGACTCACATTCGACCTCGCTCGAATTAACTCATACTCAACCCGACTTAAGCCTGACTTACAAGTTAACTTCATTTGAGTCAACCACGACGACATGAGACTTACCCAGATTCAATCAAAGATATATTCGGCTATGTTTGAGATAACACATACCAACGCAACTCTTCTAAAGCAACTACTTGAAGAAAATCATTCGAAGAAGAATAAAAGACCCAGTAACATACGGCAAAGGGTTGCAATCATTTCATTCCAAAAAGTACCTTACAAAGGGCCAGAAAGACG